CATCTCATTGTTGATTAAAGCGAGCCAAAATACGCCTAGACATTCAACATCTATAAACTGTTATCCATGTTGATCAGTAGTGAACTTCACCTCAGGATTCTCAATGAATCAAGGCGACAATAGAAAATGTTACCAACAACATCCAATTAAAAGAAACATTTTGTATGAATTGAGTTTGCACGCAAGCTATTACGCTATCTCGATTAGCAAGCATATTGTTGGATTAATGCCTAGCCAAATGAAATACACCCAAATAGGGCTTCCTAACTACCCGGTTATATCACAAATGAAATGGTACAAAAATAATTGGTTACACCTCATAAAAATAATGTGGCAATTTATGCGAGTAGCAAATGCGATCCTGATAAGTGTCTAGGGATTGGTGAAGTAGAGAGAATGCATGAAATGACCTCATAGCTACAAGTAAAGAGTGAAATGCTAATGACTCATTATAGGGTATCATTTGTAATATGCGTCAACTTTCCAAAAGTCTATTTATTTGTGTGAGAAATATGTAACAAACGTGCTCCCTTGAGATGTGATACAAACACGGGAAACCAAAAGCTGAAAAGTTGGTTCAGTGCTCAAATCTTGGACAATCTTGAAGCCTGATGATCCAAAGCTAACCTTTTAAACATATAACCTAAGTCAGGTTAGGATTATTCAAAAATAAGTATATGAGTTGTAGATGGATTTCCTTAATTGTTTTCTCCTACGTGCTGCTGTAAACAAGTTTGCTTTTTGGATTTGATCATTCCTTCATAGAACAACTAGCTTGTATTTTGCCAGCAAGGAACATCAGCATCAGCTGGAGAACAATGGCAGCAGCAAGGAAATCAACAGGATAGGCCTTCGAGAAACAAGGAGCATTATGATAGATCAGCGATACAGCTACACTGCCCAGCAATTGCTTCCCTTCGGTTTCTTGCTACATAAACTGTAACTATGATGGATGGTTGAGTTCTACAGTGAAAAACAAAAGGAAGTAAAAAGGGCTCGCGAATTGAATTTACTACATAATTCAAACCTTTAGAAGGATGCACTTACAGCCTGGATATGATTTAATCCACTCCTAAATAAACTTACAAAATTAGGAATACCTATCTACAAAAACAAACAAGATAAACTTAAATTATAAGATAATTTCAATAGAAATAGAAATTATCCTATTCCTGAATTGAAAATTCAATTCCTTACTCCATATTAATCTAAATTTTAATTTGCAGTCCAACTTTCAAGGTTTTAATCTTCATCTTTTGATATTTGGTTACCAATCTAAACGCGCCTATAGGCTACAAGGAACATCCTCTTTGATCTTACTGTTGTGAACGGAGAATACCATAGCTGGCAATTTCAATTAAGAGATCGAACCATCAAAACTCCAGTAAACATGATTCCTTCCATCTTTCCACGATTTGATACTTAAATCGTGATCATAGATGATATGATTGATCAACTACTAAAACTAACTGTCAGATCATGAGCCCCGCTTTAAGAAGAATTCATCTTTGTGAAATAATAACTTCATTTGAGGTAAGACTAGCTTTCCATACTCCTAACTATACCATTTTGTTGCATTTGGTAACTAATATTTTGGATAATTTCTTTGAATTTTTAAAAATTTCTATTAAAAACTTGAATTTTTGCAGTTTTCATATACATAACTTAGATAATTTCATCTTTAAGAGACTCTTATAATTGCTCAAAGTCATACATTGGTTGTACTATTTGATTTAACTTATATCTACGATAATTTCTTCTTTTTAAAACTTGTTGAAATTGATGAACCATTGATTTCTTTTTATCATTTTCTTGAACTGACAAGAGAGTAATCATTCAAACTCCTTCCTCAATAACTAAGCCTTCGCCACTTCTACAGCTTTTGCTCCATTAATGTCTTGCTCCTATATCAGTTATTGCATATGTACGTCACCATCCTTTCCTAAGGTAGAGAATATGATTTTTTTTTTCTTTAACAAGCGAAACGCCTAAAGGAAATTATAGCTTCCAATGATAAGTTTACGAGTTTTCCATGTTGTTACCATGTTTACCATAGACACGTCAGTTATTTTCCCGCATAAAGGTTTTTCCTTCAATTGTCAAATACTAATAAGGTCATTAATGCAACACAGCATACCTAAAATGAAGGTATGATCCATTGAAGGTGACTTAAAGATGTCAAGTGGAATCGCCTCATATATCATCTCATAGAAGTAATTTTTGTTTATTACAAACTTCAAGTGACATTGGTGATCAGTCATAATCTTTCCTTTTAAGTTGAATACAAAGGAAATGGCTAGGGAAGAGCTATGGCATCCAACCTAATTTTTACATCAAATTGGCAAAAATGCTCTTCTTGATACAGATGGTGATGACTGGCAATGAGTGCCACTTGTTTGACTTATAATCTAAGGGTGAATATGTTAGACTGGTCCATTATTGGACCGGTCCAGCCAGTCCGACGGAACCAGTTTGCGAACAGAGGCAGAAATCTTCCGCCTCCTATACGCATCGTTCGTACCGACCACGCCACCCGAGCCTTTTAGGAAGGATTTTTTAGGGTGTTAGGAGGGAAATTTGAATGTAGGGAATGTTTAGAGATTTTCTTTTGGAATGTATGCATTAAATAGTTTGTTTTTCTAGGGTTAGAGCATCTTGAATTTGGTTGAAATTTGAGATCTCATAGATTTAGGTTTTCTTTTGGGCTCTAGCGGCATCTAGAGATTTGGGAGAGATCAATCCTCCTCTCGAATAGAGGATCAATTGTATCTTGTTATTTTCTATTTCCCTTTCATCAAATAATACAAATTACCCACTGTTTTCGTGGTTTGTGCGGATTTTTGTGGAGAATTCTCGCTGCTTTTCAAAGATTGATAGGAAATACTTGATATTTACGAGTGCTTCCTATCATAATAACTCATCCCATGTATCCATGTTGGAGGATGACACAACCACTATACCCTTCAGCATTGCCATTATAGATAGAGATGGTTCTACCTTGTTCACTGAAATACTTTGTTGTCCACCAAAGTAACAGTTACTTTTTCTTGTCTTTCTTTGACTTTTTAGGGCAGAATTCAGAATATAGCTTAAAAAAATTTTATTTTGTGTGGCATGGTATTTGACAATGATTATAGAATTTACTAGAAGCATTAGTTTTCTAAGAGGAAGGCCGTCACTAGTCATTTTCTTTCTTCTTCCTTCTGGATAAAGAAGATACCTCTTTGAATGATTCTCAAATTTCTCCCAATTGCCTTGGTCTTGGTTTTGGTGCACTGTGGCATCACCGCCATATTAGCATGGCTAGGATAACAATCGAAAAGTAGCAGGGTTCATTTGTAATTTGAAAATAAAATATGTGGATTATTCTTGCACATATTGTCGATGGAGTTACCCTAAACTACGCCACTTCCTCTGCATAGCCCATCATGTAGAACTCTACGTATCAACTACGTGAACATTCCCCAAATAACCTCTTGATAGTCATTCATCTTCGATGTGCATTCCACCAAGCCAATGCAATAAGTCTAAACTTCAATAAGGTAAAAATATCTAACTAGTCAATCAATGCATCCAATTTTTCATAGTCAATAATATCATCATACATAGAAATCTCACCTTTAGCCTCTACTTTGAATACTTACCTTCATCATTTTGAATAGTTATATCTCCTCTTATACATCCTTTCTATCCATGTTTGCATTTGACATGCGAGAAATATGACTTGGCCCACTAGTTTTATTGGTGGCTGTTTGCTTCCTCATCCATTGCATCATGGTGATTATCAACTCGATCAATCTAGCCACCAAGATTTTGGGAAGAATTGTTATCATCCATTTATTGTCTTTCTTTGTTTTCATATTTGCTCTTTACGGGCATTCAATGCGATTCCAAGATAAAAAGTGGTTCTGATGTGAAAAATGTAAGTAAACAAGAATTGCTTTTGGAAATTAATAATAATTTGAACTTTAACCTTGCTAATTGTAAACTTATGTTTCACCAAATTAGATTCTTAGAAATTTCCGTTAGAAGTTTATATAATAACAAGCGATTACAAACGAGATTAACATGATACTAGCAAGCAACATCAAGAACATAAAGTAAAACTAATGGCAATGAAATAAAAATTCACGGCTTAACAACGAGAAATGTTCACCATGAGTTCCCTCACTCTCGCTCTTGAAATTGGGGCTTAGCAGAGAAAGGGTAGAAGTAACCCTAGTGAAGCCACCACAAGACAAGTGACGCGTAAGATATTGTTCGCCGAAGAAGTAGCCGGAGGGGAAGTTGATGGTCGGCCGATGATTTGTCAATGTCCAGTTGGTCGTTGCTCGTCAATCGTCTCAACGAGAAGATAGAGTATGTGATCTACGCAGCTTTCCACTGAATCCTCATATTCCCAATCTGGATCAAAGAAGGGGGATTGCAAGATGTCGATTTGCCCTTGAGCTTTGTATACGAATCTGTGGTCGACATCAGGGTCGGCCATGCACTAATTGTAGATGGGAGGAGGAAGCTTGTCTTCTCATCTTTGCTCTAAAACTCATGAAAGAATTAGGGTGTCCAAGAGAAGCAAGGGGAGAAGAGAGGCCGACCAAGGAGAGGGGAGGTTTGTGGGTTATGTTAGGTTTAGGTTTGGATTGGGGAAATCCCAATAAATCTGAAATTAATTTCAGGTTTAAGTGATTTTGGAGGGAATTGAATTTGAAATTGAGTTCAAATTCAAATAGGATCTAGGGATTAAGAAGAAAACCAAGGGAGGTGGGCTATGGGGGCCGGCGGCATCTAGAGAGAGGGAGGTGGGTTTTGGGAGGAGAACTAAAAGCATCCTAAATGAGTTCTCTAATTTAGGAAAAGGATAATTAAATCAAATCCAATTTAAAATCAAATTGGACTTAGATTTAAAACTTTCCTAATTTAGCTTTTGTTAATTTAAGAAATTATTTAAAATTCAAATTTTGAATTTCAAATTGAGGCAATTTATTTCCCAATTACTTAGGCTAGTTTAGGTAAGTAATAATGATGATTGAATTCATCATTAAAGGGGAAAGGAGGGTGTGGCCGGCGGTGGAGCTTGGGGAAAAGGTTAGGCCGACGGTTGTGAGGGCTTGGCCGGCGATTATGGATGGGGAAGGGCTAGAGGCCAATGGGAAGGAGGATGGTGGGTAGGTGGCCGCCGGTTGGGGCAAAGGGAGGGTACGGCCGGCGGCTTGGAAGGTACGGTTGTGAAGGCTTGGTCGGCGGTTATGGATGGGGGAGGGCTAGAGGCCAATGGGAAGGAGGATGGTGGGTAGGTGGCCACCGGTTGGGGCAAAGGGAGGGTACGGCCGGCGGCTTGGAAGGTGAATGGTGGTCAGCAGGTGGGGGAGAAAGAGTAAAGAAGAAGATAAGCCGCGAGCCACGGACTCTTCCAATGACTGACGGGTATTGCGGTCAACCTCACCTAAAGTTCTCTCTTCTCTCTAGCGCACACACAAGAAGAAGACAAATATGAAATTTTCATTTCATCATTCATTAACCTCTTACAAAGCACAAGACCTCTATATATAGGCCTTAATAATAAAGAAAAGAAAAAAGACTCTATATATAAGCCTAGAGATTTCCAAATCTTTAGGGTTTGTGAGATTGGAATGTAATAAGATATATCATCATGATAAGATTATTTTGGACTAGAATGGATAGAATAATCACATAATTAATCATCCTAAAATATTATGAGATATCCATATTCTTCATAAGCAACTGATCATCAAAGTATCATGAAACCAATCAGATGCATCAATACTATTATGTATTGCAGAAAATTTATAATATCTATAAAATTGTTGAATATAATGGTTGTAATATGATTTCTAAATAGCTTAATCTAGGATCTGTAATCAATACTTTTAACATACACCAGATAATATTCTTATATGGATACCACTTAATGTAATTGTTACAATTCATAGAATTTGAGAAGGGTAAAATTACCTTCTTCTTATTATACAAAATTATCCCTCTTTATAAATCTATACAAGATGTCTTAATAAAGAAATAAATAGCTTCTAATTGATACATAATTGCCTCAATATAATCCTTCCTAATTCAGCTACCCAATTATAGAAGGATATTGGCGTGATCCAAGTGAGACTCCCACGGATTCTCATCCTGACCATGGGATTAAATGCCAAGGGATGACTGAGATTTTGACAATCCCCCTCAAGCTGAAGACCAGCTTGGAATTACTCGCTCAAGTCCCTTAGTAAACCATATAGTCCTCTATTTGGTCAAAACTTTGGGAGGAATTAACTTCAGACATTGTGACAGCGGCAGATGATAGCGATGAAGACTTTATCAAGCAGGCCAGCAATGAAGGCTGCATTGGTTATAGATAGGATTGCAATCACAAGAGAAAGCTGGCAATGAAGGTCGGTGATGGGAACCTATCCTCAAAATTCCGACAATGAAGGCAGGTTGTGAAAACTAGTATTCCTCAACATTCTGGCAATGAAGGCCGATGATAGGAACATGTATTTTTTCATAATTCCGGCAATAAAAGCCGGTAGGACTAATATTTCTCCAAATTCTAGCAATGAAGGCCACAACCACAAAACAGAGGGCACGAGCAGTTTGGACTTACTCGACTCTTATTCGATGTCCTACGGCAATGAAGGCCGCTTGCACAAAATAGAGGGCACGAGCTGTTTGGACCGCACGACTCCAACGGCAATGAAGGCCGCTTTCTCCTCTCTGCTTTCTTTGATTCGTATATCCCAGGCGATTCCGACAATGAAGGCCGGTAAAAGAATCAATATTCTTCAAAGGTTCGATAATTTTTTATAGTAATGAAGACTATCTATTGGATTTTGGACAGCAATGAAGGCTTCCAAAATAAGATCCCTTCGATCTTAAGTTACGGCAATAAAGGCCGATTTTATATCAGTAATGAAGGTTGGTTTTTGTTTTCACTTATTAAGACTTTCTCGGTTTATTTAACCGAACCGGCCCAGCCTTGATTTTAAGGCTCGGATCGGGGCAAGATAGGCACCGGCAAGGTTCCGTCCCTTTAGTCGCAAGAGCAGGTCCATGTGTGCGAGCCTTCAGACGAAGCTTCCGATTTCGATTGATTCCTCCAGACAAGGTTTCCGGATGTGCGAGCCTTCTGAATGGCAGAAGGCGGTGTTTGTCTCCCAAGTCACACGCATGCGTGCCGATCACGAGCTTGGTCCCGCGAGTCGCAGTGGCTTCCTCCCGCGAGTCGGATAGGTGGCTTCATCCAGCGAGTCGCATGTGTCCGGCGATCGGATCGGGCTTCCGATCGGCTTCGTCTTCCGCATGGACAGTTTCGAATGGGTACGACACTTCTGCTCCTTCGTCTCCTTCGTGGATGTTCGTCAAGGCTCCTTCGACGATAGTTCTGACGGAGTCGAGGCTTCCGTCTGCGACAGCAACTGTCGGAATCGGCACTTCCGTTTGGCAGAATTGGCGGCCTCTTACAGCGTTAGAAGGTTGGATCGTTCAACAATGAAGGCCTCCCGATCGGCTCTGATACCATGTTACAATTCATAGAATTTGAGAAGGGTAAAAATACCTTCTTCTTATTATACAAAATTATCCCACTTTATAAATCTATACAATATGTCTTAATAAAGAAATAAATAGCTTCTAATTGATACATAATTGTCTCAATATAATCCTTCCTAATTCAGCTACCCAAATATAGAAGGATATTGGCGTGATCCAAGTGAGCCTCCCAAGGATTCTCATCCTGGCCGTGGGATCAAATGCCAAGGGATGACTGAGATTTTGACAGTAATAAAAAATGTCAAAAGCTTATAATTCACCCATGCCTAAATTATGACCAAGATAATGCATGAAACTAGATGCTAATGAGCTTGATGAAATATTTTGATAAATTCATTATAGCAATTCTAAAGTGAATAAAAAGAATTTTAAACTTCATAAAATGTCAGCCTTCTGATGACCCGATTAAGAGAATAAATGTATTAGATCCAGCCTACTTTAAGAAAGGTAGAGGTGGACCTAAAAAATTTTGTTAGAAAGTATTAGAAATGACCTTTTTTTTATTAGATTTAAATGAGAATTTAACTCTTAATAGGATACTAAAGAAAAAGGATTTATACAGCTGAACCCAGATAGTGAGATAAAGGCTTGATGTTGTTTTTATTGTATGATATGTCTTATGAGAATAATTTATGCATCTTACATATCAAGTTTCTTAAATTTATTTATGTGTTGGTACTATATGGAATAAAATGAAAAGGCTTCGGATTTTCTGATCTTCCTTTTAATAAATTCTTGAACTAATATTTCAACTTTTGAATGCTTTTTTAGCTAATAATGAGTTCTTATTAGTTGAATATAAAAATTAATGCAATCTAAAAGTTTACATATTGTGTTCCTAAATGAATATGTATAAAATGTTGACAAAAGAACAAACAATCTGAATTTATGTATGATAATGATGTCGTTTGAAAAAGGTGTTTGGTGTGTATTAGTTCAATCACATTGAGCCATGTAAAGAAAAGAAATCATTAGTTCAATCACAATTGTAAGCCTAAAATATTGCCCCTAGCCACCAAAGAAAGCATGGGACTGTACAAATCAGAAATGATATTGTTTCCACCACATGCATGCATATTATATAGATACAATACGTGAATTTTCCAAGAAAAAAATTCGGTACCTTATCTTCAACTAGTTCAGCAATTTTCTCCACTAGTGCAGCTTTGTTTGTCTGGTAAGGGATCTGCAATAAAGTTGCAAAGCTTTAGATAAGAGAAACTGCAGTCCTCAAAAACAGGGGAAAAAAATGAAAATATGTTCAACCCAATGAGACAACAAAGCAAAAAATAAAAATTTCCTAAATATAGGATCGACTTGACCTCTTTAATGATAATTGCTATGCGTTTTGTCTTCTCATCTAGGGACTCAACTTCTGTCTTCCCTCTAATTATTATACGTCCCCGACCACTTCTATAGGCTTCCAAAATTCTTGAAGTACAAGAAAAAAAGTAATCCAAGTCTTAAATAAAGATTAAAAATCATAGCATAAAACAGAAGGGAAATTAGACATACCCGATATTCCCCATGATCAGCCCTCCTGTTGGGAAGTCTGGCCCAGGCATGTATTCCAGCAGTTCTTGAAGCTTTTGACAAAAGATAATGATCAGTTACAACTTACAAGTAAATTAGCATAGCCATGCAAAGAAGGAACTTTTAGACACCACAAAATAAGTCTTAGGCAGGCCTTGGAGATTATGCTAGTCTTCATGTCATAGAGGAATACAAAAAAAAAACATACAAGAATGCAAAGAAATTGTTGCCTTCCTTGCAATCTACTTTAACTGATACGTCAAAAAGCTATCTGAATAAATTCATTTAAAAGATGAACGACATGCTTACCGAAGCATCAGGATTATGAATCAACATTGTGAGAGCATCCACAAGCTCACAAAGATTATGCGGTGGAATATTTGTTGCCATGCCAACCTACGATTACAGTAATACAAACAAAGAATGTCTTTATTTATAATAATAATGTTTTTAGTATTGAACATTATCGAAAAAGAAATTGTTTTATTATGTGCATCATAAGTTATTTACAATTATTTTAAAACCTTATAAAGGCTTAATATAATAAATAAGATATATCATATAATATTATACATAAAATTATTATAATAATAAGTCAATATGTATTATGTAGATAATTAAAAATATATACAATTCATAATTATATAAGTAGAGATGTTAATTGCCAGGTTAGTTATACATTAAAAGCAAAAAATATACCCGTTAGAACAGTATATAAGTTGGATTTTCACTTTGACATTAGTGAATTGGCCTTGGCCGACCAAGCCAAAAATTGGACAAAACAGAGTAGATCTACCCAGCCCGACCCAAAATGGCATATCCCAACCCAATCAACCTAACACGCAAGTGGGATATCAATATGAACAAATAAAGATGTGAAACCGCAAATCTTATATCAATAAAACACACCGCAATTCCAGAAGAACCATTCAGCAATAAAGTAGGAACACGGGCTGGCAAAAGAGATGGCTCCTTTTGTGAATTGTCAAAATTTGGAACAAAGTCAACCTGAAAAAGTTACTATTGATCAATTAAGAGTATATGGATTATGACTAAACAGAGAGAAAATAAGCATACAGATCCAAGAAAAGGAAATAAATAGTAAGTATATGAAGGTCTACAGTATTCTGTTCTAAATCCATCAAAAGCATGGCTTCTGTGAGTGCCTGCAAGCAAAAAATGAGATTATAATTTTAGCGTACAAACGTAATTGAATGCAAATTCAAAGAAATAACGATTAAAGAAACAGCACTAAAATGAAAGAAATGAGGTCAGCATTATATGCACAATGCACATTTTTTGCTAAATCAATTTTCACATCATTGGTCAAACAAAGGATCTAAACATCAATGCCAGTAAAAAAGTTCAATGATCCTTGCTATCTCATAGTGTTTATGTTACAATCAGTTGTACACATCTTGAAAGCAGAAAATACACTTTTTTTTTAATTGCTCATTTGTGTAACATCTTGCTTCTCCGTGGATTAAACATGAACCCAACCAAGCGTCTAAAAAAAAAGCTTGTCTCTGATAAACAGCCCAAAAGACTGATGGGAAACACTTGTATATCTCAAGTAATTCCTATCAATCTTTGAAAAACAACAAAAATTCTCCACAAAAACCCACACAAAACAAGAAAAACAGTAGATAATTTGTATTATTTGATGAAATGGAAACAGAAAATACCAAGATACAATTGATCCTCTATTCGAGAGGAGGACCTATCTCTTCCAAATCTCTAGATGCCGCTAGAGCCCAAAAACCTAAGAGATCTAAAATTTCAGTCAAATTCAAGATGCCCCAACTCTAGGAAAACATACTATTTAATGCATACAATCCAAAAGGAAATTTCTAAACAGCCCCTACATTTAAATTTCCCTCCTAACTCCCTCAAAATCCTTCCTAAACAGCTCCGTTGGATTGGGTGTTTTGGTCGTATAGTAGAGGCGGAACTCTTCCGCCTATCTCCATGAGCCAGTCCTGTATGGATTGGCTAAACCGGTCCTGTATGGACTGGCTGGACCGATCCAATGGACTGGTCTAACAATACCCCCCTCCCAAAGACCCACCTTGTCTGCAAGGTGGAAAGATGATACCCTCCTCTATTCCCTCTTCATCACAAATGGTAAGAACTTGTAGAGTTCGGACCTTATATATGTGCCCTGGAGTATACCTCTCATCACATCTAAAATAGATCTCCTTCGTCCTTTTCTCCTGTAATTCTATTTCTGTGATCTTCTTGAAGTTATCCCCAGGTTTTCCACTAACAGTCTTCTCCTTCGGGGTCTCCCAAAGGGTGCCTAGTGTCAGGTCCTTCGATGCCAAAAAGATGGTGGTTATCCTATGTGTGGCTCCTAAGTTGTTGTCTTTCATCCCTTTCTCCAAGTGCCTCTAATCCTCCACCAACTGAGCTAGTTCCATTGCCTCTACAAAGTCACGAGGCCTCATCACTCTAACTGCCGCCTGGATCTTTGGTTTTAATCCCTTCATGAGATTCCCCTCTAGTACGGTCTCAAAAAGACGGTTCAATTGCCTAGCCACGTACTCGAACCTCTGCCTATGCTCTATTACTGAATCATCTTGTGTCAAAGCAAAGAACTGCTTGTAGAAGTCTCCTCCCCTGTCAGTTTGAAATCATTCTAACAGGCAATCCTTGAACTCCCTCCAACTCCGCATGGGTCGTCGCATGTCCCTCCACTGGTACTAAGCAAAAACCTTCCCTTCCAAACAAAGGCCAACTGTTGTCAGTCTTTCCTCTTCCGTCAACCTATTGACAATAAAGTACCTTTCTACCCTAAAGATACACCCGTGTGCATCCTCTCCCTCAAAAATAGGCATATTCAATTTCCTCACTCTTAGATCTCCTCCGTCAACACTGCTTCCTCCAAAATTTCTCATTCCCCAAGGGGATGGTTCCCTCCAATTGCGCCAATCATCCCTCCTCTACTCGCACCCAAACCTTTCATCACAATTCCACATTCTCCCTTCAAATTCAGCACCCCTTCGATCATATTCAACCCCTCTCCTTTCAAATTCAACACCGCACCACTCATGCCCAACCCTCTCATGCCTCTCCACATACTCTCTACCCAACTCCTCCCTAGGAATAGGCTCTATGAGAGGTATCCTCTCTTATCTCTTTTGAGTCTCCAAGTCTTGATCTTTCCATTGCCTTATTAGATTAGAATTTCCCCCGCTTCCTGGGTTGTCGGAAGGCAGAAGCTTCCCTCGCCTCTGACAATGTCATTTTGAATTGGATCTCGAGCAAACTTCTTCAACATCTCCCCCATGCAAGAAAAATTTTCATTCATTTTCTCATGGATGGCTGAAATTTGATTTTTGACATCTAAAAGTTGAGTGTACATATCTGAAATTTTAGTTTTCAATTGTTTAATCTCCCCTTCTAACACTTCTACCTTTCATTATGCCATGGGAACCTGGATTTAGGCTCCAATAGCAATGAAAAACAAGTTTGGCACGAAATATGGCCTCCATTCAGCAAAAACAACAAGATCGGATACAGGCCACAGCAAAATTCAGCGAAGGAGACTTCTATTTCAGCCCAGGAAATTGCTCTGATACCAATTTGATAGGAAACACTTGTAGATCTCAAGTAATTCCTATCAATCTTTAGAAAACAATAAAATTTCCTAAGACGCCGTTAGATCCCAAAAACCTAAGAGATCTCAAATTTCATCCAAATTTAAGATGCCCTAACCCTAGGAAAACAAACTATTTAATGCATACAATCCAAAAGGAAATCTCTAAACAGTCCCTACATTCAAATTTCCCTCCTAACTCTCTTAAAAATGGGTGTTTCGGTCGGTGCATACAGGAGAGTGAAGACCAATACCGAGTTATACCGAGCAATACAAAAAAATACCGAGTTTTTCCTAGGTATTTTTTTTTGTTTTGCTCGGTATAGCTCGGTATAACTCGGTATTGGGTCTTCACGTGATGGTATTCCTCGTTATTGTTTGGTATTGCTCGGTATTTGCTCGGTATTTCTCATTTTTTGATGCGATTTGACCTCCGACCGGAAGTTCCTCTACGTCCGGTCGGAGGACGTAATAATTGTTCGGTATAGAAAGGGCTTCAAGAAAATTTCTTGCCTTTACTTGGAAGGGCACGAAAGCGACAAGAATCAAAAGCACCAAAGGTGCGCACAAACAGTCATAAAATATGGTTCAAAGTTCTTCAATTTGCCAAGAAAAACTTAATCTCCATCATTAGATTATCACAAGATGAATATCAGATGGCTACACACATGCCTAAGAAAATCTATGGTCAATGAACCACCTTTCTTAACTTCTCGTTACACCATAGGCAGGCAAACAGGAAACAAATTAGCTGTGATTGAAGTAGTTTCCAGAAATTTGTTGGATTTTTTTCACCCTATGTTGTTTTGATGAATATAAACATTATAAATAGAATATTCTAATTACTTCTCTTCAAGTGTATTTTAGACAGATTTATCGTAAAAAAACAGAACTGAACCCAACCGTATGAAATGCAGATGCATCTCAAGTAAACAATACAAAAAAAATGTTGATGTATAAAAACTTTGAATATCTACCTGTGCCATTCTGACTAGGGATTCATACACAGCAGTATCTCCATGGGGATGAAATTTACCCAAAACCTAAAAGCGGGCAACAAACTATAAGTAGCAGCAAGTGAAGAAGAAGAACTTCTAACAAAACTGAAATAAAAATGATTGATTCCAAGGGTCATGGAGAAAATATTAATTGAATAGAAAAACTACACTTGCGCAGAATGAATAGGAAAAAAGATCATGCTTTTACCTCTCCAACTACTCTAGCACATTTCCTGAAAGGCTTGCGAGATGAAAGGCCTAACTCATGCATTGCATACCTACAATATATTCAGAGTAAAAGAGAGTAAAAGTGGAAATTACATAAAACAAGAAAACTAAAGGTAAGGTGCGTAAGTTGAAACAATAAATACGAGTCACTTTAAGTGCAATAACATTAATCACAATGAAATTAAGAAATATCACTACAAGCAGTAGTGGAAATTCTATAGTGGTAAGCATGGTCCATTCTTTTGATGCTACTCAGTAATGGGTGGAAAATGATAATCCATATATAAATATCTTCAAATCTAACAAATAGTAAAGAAACCACGTTTAAACCAGATAGCTGGCAGTTTGTTGATCAATAATCTGGACGAGAATTCATGCCTTTGGGTATCAAATTTGCCATAAATCCAATCCAGCTTGAAAAGGTGAAAATCCAGTAAGATTTAGCGAATAAAATAGCCAAAGATGAAGAATATTCTTTTAATATCAAAATAATTAAGATAATATTCTTTTAATATCAAAAAAATTAAAATAATATTCTTTTATGAGAATGTTGAAATCCACAACTTACTTCTTATTTGGATGATTATATCTTAATCGCAGTGATATTACGCAATGCCATTATGATCCACAAGTATTCTAGTAATGTATTATCATCCAAATTGATTGATCTAGGAGGCACTCATAAATTTAGACAATAAAATAAATTTCTGCTATTTTTTAGAAGCTTCCAAAAGGATCCATCACAAAGCCCAAATCTCTACAAAAAATGCCAAAGCATGAAGTCACAATTAGTAAAGATGGAGAACTAAACGCAAATCTATCAATTCAAAATCCCATTATAAGGGTGTGAAAAAGAGTGGAGATATTCAAGGCTAAATTAAATGAAATGTTTCAAACTCCACACGAAAGTAAAGAAAACAAATTCAGCAAAGTCCCTAAATGATTGTGTATCCACCAAAGAAGGGGATAAAGAAAGCTAAAAGAGAATTTTTTAAGAATATTCTCGAGATATTTTCCTTTAAACATATAAATAAATTTGATAAGCATTCAAATAACGAATTTTCTTATCAAATCATTTAACTTGCATGATTAGATAAGTTGTTTTGTTGGATGGCTAAAACGGGTTTTTAATTTACTTATCATTTTTGCTATAAATAGCTATTTCTATTTATTATTTGGAACCAAGCAATGAAGTGAATTAGATTTCCTTCAATTCATCTAGCATCTCCTCTCCCCTCTATACCCACATGAATCCCATATTGAAGCAGCGTGCGTCCAGAGCAGGAAAAATAGCAACCTTATTATTTCAATTACCGATTGGTTCCATCCAAGGATGTATTTAAGACTGATGGTGGTGTTGGTTTTGTGCATTTGAGTTAAAACAGTAAATTCATTCACAATTTTATGCAAACCCCTAAATAGATCAAAGGTGGATAGCAAACCTACAAAAAAAGAGAATGTATCTAAGGCAATTATAATCTTACCTCTAAGAAAATTCCTTATGTAAGCTAGCTTCTATGTTTCATCCAACAACTCACTCAAATCATTTAGGTCAACCGCACTATAATATTTCTTTGGTTATAAGCCAACTTTAAATTAAAATAATTTAAACTCAGCATAAAAAACTGTTGTTTTATGATCACATTCTGTTACGGAATCAACCAAACCGGCCCAGGAGGGGCTGGTCCAGTTCTACAAGAGGCGGGCTAAGCCGCCTCCTTGATTTGTTTCCGCCCAACTTGTGGGCCCGCCTTGAGGCGGCAATAGGAGAGAGGGGAAGGAATTTTGAAATTAGTTTATATTAGGGAAGTGGATTTAATTAATTAAAAGATTTGATATCTTTTGTATGATTTAAATAATATCTTATATTATGAAGTTTTTAAGGAGGTGGAGTTTTAAGGAGGTGGAGAGGGCTATTTAAAGGGGATGAAGGAGCTAAGGTAGGTATGCTTGATTATTGTTCTCTTGGAGTCTCTTGGGTGTCTTGGGCTCTAGACTTGGTGTCTAGAGATTGGGAGAGAACGTCCTCCTCTCGAATAGAGGATCAATTTTATCTTGTTTTATGTTTGCTTTGTTTTATCTTATATAATCAAATCTATTGTTTTGAGTTGATTTCAATAGTATTATTGTGTTCTTTCTCGCTGTTTTACCAATTCATTGTTAGGGTTGCTTGCAAACTCAAGTATTTTCAATAGGATTACTTGCGAACCCAAGTATTTCCTATCAAATTGGTATCAGAGCAAGTCTTGGGACCGGTGGAGGGCTGTTTTCGGCAAATTCCAGCAACAATTTCTTGCCCAGAAAAGGAGGAAGTTGCTGTTTTTTTACTCTAAAATCCAGATTTTGTGAATCTACAAACTCCGGATTGTCATGGCGGGCAAGAAAGTTGATGCTTTGGAGGAGAGACTCGAAGGAGAAATGAATAACATCAAAGAAACCGTGGAGGAAAGAATTTCTTCCATGGAGGGGCAGGTGGCCGATATCAGGGATATGATGAAAAGAATGCTGGAGCTTCAAGCACAAACGGCGGCATCCGAAGCAAAGGGCCCATAAGCAAAGAACACCAATTCTGAAATCCGTAAGGAGGAAGAAGAGGTGGAAATCGTGGAAGGGGAAAAAAGAAGACCCTATGTGGAGCCTTTCCATAGGGAGGGAAGAGGAGATCGACATGGGGAAAGGTATGGCTATGTGGGAGCGGAGCAAAGAGGGGCTAAGGGGTTTTACAGCCGTCAGGGTGCTGATTTTGAAGGGAGAAGAAGGGATATCGAAGGGGGATTGGGTTATGGCAGAGCATGGGAGGATCGGCATATGGATGGATCTACAAAGTAGAGAGGTACTTCGCCGTCAACAGTTTGACAGAGGAAGAGAAATTATCAGCCGCAGAATTATGTCTAGAAGGGAAGGCACTCTCTTGGTACCAATGGAGAGATCAGAGGAGGCCCATCCGGAACTTGGGAGAATTTAAGGACTGCTTGATCGAACGCTTCCAAACTGATCGAGGAGGAGACTTCTAATGAGCAGTTCTTTGCTTTGGTGCATGAGGGATCAGTAGCAGACTATCGGGAGAGATTCGAGCACTTGGCCAAGAGAGTAGAGCGTTTGTCTAATAACTGGAGGGGAACTTCATGAAAGGCCTGAAGGCAGAGATCAGAGCGGCTGTGAAGGCCCTGATGCCACGGGACTTGGGGGAGGCCATGAAGCTTGCATAGCTAGTGGAAAATCAGAAAAACCTAGAAAATGGAGCGAGGAGCAACAACTCAGGAGGCACTTACAGGTGGACAACCACTCACCTAGCACCCAAGGGGCCGATCGCAGGAGGGATTAGAGAAGCTCCGAAGGAGAAGACAGTGGGAGAAAGGAGTGGAGGAAATTTCAAGAGGCTGACAGAAAAAGAGATGCATGAGAAGAGAGCCAAGGGGTTGTGCTTCATGTGCAATGAAAAGTATACGTCAGGGTATCGGTGCAAGGACCGAACTCTTCAGGTTCTCACCGTCTGTGATGACGAGAAAACCGAGGAGAGAGGTAAGGAGGAGACAGAGGAGGAGATGGAGGAGAATCTGCATTTGGATCTGGCCGAGGTCTCCCTGAACTCAGTGGTAGAATTCACTACAAATCATACCATGAAAGTGAAGGGGGAGATAGAGGACAGGAATGTGGTGGTGCTAATTGACTGTGGGGCCACTCTTAATTTCATTTCCACTCAGGTTGTCGACCAACTGGGAGTGAAATTGATAGACCGGTTGTTACGGGGTGATGATGAGCACAGGGAAGGTGGAAAAAGGCAATTCCAAGAGGTGTTTCAACCACCTGAGGGATTGCCACCACAGAGGGAGCAGGAGCACGCCATCATTCTGAGAAAGGGGGTGTCACCCATCAGCATATGGTCTTATCACTACCCTCAGTTTCATAAAGATGAAATTGAAAATTTGATTAGAGAGATGCAGGAGGCAAACATCATCAGGCCAAGCGTTAGTCCTTTCTCTAGTCTAGTGCTATTGATGAAGAAAAAAGACATCAGCTGGCAATTCTGTGTGGACTACAGAGCACTCAACAAGAAAATTGTATCTGATAAGTTTCCTATTCCCGTTATTGATGAGCTATTGGACGAATTGAATGGAACGGTGATCTTCAGCAAGATAGATTTGAAATTAGGATACCATCAGATCCGGATGAAGGAGGATGTCCCTAAAACTGCTTTTTGAACTCATGAGAGACACTATGAGTTCCTGGTAATGTCTTTTGGCCTCACCAATGCTCCAGTCATTTTCCAGGCACTTATGAATAAGGTTTTCAAATCTTATCTACGACGTTTTGTATTGGTATTCTTCGACGACATCTAGTCTACAGCAGGATGGAAGAAGAACACGGGGAGCATCTAAAAAAGGTGTTAGAAGTACTGCAGAAGCACCAGTTGAGGGCCAACTTGAAGAAGTGCTGCTTTGCACAGGCTAGTGTAGAGTACTTGAGCCATGTTGTATCAAAAGGAGTGGCAGCAGATCAGTCTAAAATTGAGGCTATGTTAAAGTGGCCCGTACCCAAAAATATGAGGGAGCTGATGGGATTTCTAGGACTGACATAGTACTACATAAGGTTTGTCAAGGGATATAGCACCATAGCATGGCCACTCACTGAGCAGTTGAAGAATGACGGGTTGGGGGGAGGCGAACACATCAACATTCAAGAGCTTGAAGAAGGCTATGACTACAGTGTCAGTCCTAGCCTTGCCAGTTTCACTCAGATCTTCATAGTGGAGACAGATGGGTCGGATACGGGCTGGGTGTAGTACTTATGCAGAGTCGTAGGCCCATTGCTTATTTCAGCCAGGAGTTGACTGCTCGAGCCAGGCTGAAGTCAGTTTATGAGAGAGAGTTAATGGTCATTGTATTGGCTATCCAGAAGTGGCGACCCTACCTACTTGGGAGGCATTTCATTGTCAGGACTGATCAGCGGAGCTTGAAATACCTGCTAGAATAGCAGATGGTGACAGAGGAGCATTAGAGGTGGCTATCCAAATTGTTGGGGTACGATTTTGAGATTCAGTATAGACCAG